TTCACAAGTTCATCTTTAGGCAACACAGTAGAGGACGGAACAGACTGGAGGGGCAAGGACACCAGTTCACTCTCAATGACATTTTCCATAGGTGCACAAGCTGGAGAGAGATGAGATGCATGCCAATTTTTCCCATCTGATAACTGGTAAGTGCATGGACCAAGTTGATGTACAATTTTCAAAGGCTTTGAGAATCTAGGATGTCCTTTTGGCACATGAACTGGAATTTTTATACGCACCCAGTCTCCAGATTTGAACTCAGGAGTACAGGCTCTTCTTTTTAGGTCTGTGTATGCTTTCATCTTCTTTTGAGACAATGACACTTTCTGACTCACAGCAGGATCCTTACAAGTCATAGGAAGAGGGAGAACATTAAGACGAGTACGCATTTTCCTGCCACAGAGTAACTCTGAAGGAGACCGTCCAGTAACAGAATGGGTAGTAGCACGGTAAGTTTGAAGAAACTCTGTTACTGTTGATTTCCATGGCTTTCCAGACAGAATAGCAGATTGAATAGAACTCTTCAGGACTCGATGGAATCGCTCAATAGCTCCATTTGCAGCTGGATGGTACACTGATGTATGTATGTGTTGAATGTCTCGATCTTACAGAAATGCTGCAAACTCCACTGACTTGAACTGACATCCATTGTCAGATACAATGTAATGAGGATTTCCAAATCTGCTGAAGACTGATGTCAAGAAGTTGATCACATTTTTACTTGTGATTGAAGAAGTGAATGCTACTTCTGGCCACTTACTATGATAGTCAATTAACGTCATAATGTACCGACAATCCCAAGTAGCGGTTTCAAATGGGCCAACAATGTCAACAGCCACTTTTTCCCATGGCATAGATGGAAAAGGTACAGGTTGTAAAGGTGCAGCACGGACAGTTGTAGTCTTGTCAGAAGACAAGCAAACCTCACAATTCTTGATCTGTTCATTAACCAAGCAATCAATGCCAGGCCACCAGTAAAGTTCACGAATGCGCTGTTTCGTCCGCACTATTCCTTGATGACCCTCATGGGCCAGATTCACCAAAACACGTCGCAATGCAACAGGAACAACAAGACGTGACCCTCTAAACACATAGTCCTTTTGCACAGCAAGTTCATGACGTATTTGAAAATATGGACGTAGAACCACCCCCACAGCAGCTGATGAAGAAGGCCATCCACGATCAATCTGAGCACGTAATGCAGTCATTTCTGAGCATGATGCAGAGGCAGAAGCAAATTCAGTTGGAGACACAGCAGACATTTCAGAAGACAAAAGTGCAACAAACTCTGGTTCAATGTCAGAGAAATCCTCATCAGAAGCAAGCAAAGGTAGGCGTGAAAGATAATCAGCAACCTGATTTTGAGAGCCAGGATAATAATTCACCTCATAATTAAAACACAGAAGTCGCTCTGCCCAACGCGCAATCCTCATTCCAGCGCGATCTGTGCCTTTAGAGGAGAGGAGCACTGTCAAGGCCTGATGATCCGTACGTAGAAGAAATTTTCGACCCCAGAGGTAAGTTCTCCATTTTTCAACAGCCCAGACACATGCTTCCTTTTCAATCGTTGAATATTTACGTTCCGCAATCGACAATGTTCTTGAAGCAAATGCAACAATGCGCTCTGTGTTATTTTCATGAATTTGAGAGAATACAGCACCTAGTCCATAATCTGATGCATTCGTCGAAACGATAGTGGGCAAGTTAGGGTCAAACAATGCCAAAGCAGGGCTTTGGAGTAACAACTCCTTTACAGTACTGAAACTCTTCTGAGCCTCATCTGACCAGCTGAACTCAGATCCTTGTCTGATGCAAGCACGCAATGGCTCTACTACTGTAGCGAAATTTGGAATGAATTTATTGTACCATGACAACAATCCAAGAAGGGAACGGAGCTGATGTGCATCTTTAGGAACAGGAGCATGAACCATTGCAGCAAGATGATCCTCATCTGGGTGAATACCCTGTGCAGATACAGTATGACCAAGAAAGCGCAAACTGCTTTTATTAAAGTGACATTTTGAATCATTCAACTGTAAGCCTGCATCTTGTATGCGCTGAATAACCACTTTGAGCATTTGGTCATGTTCACTTTTTGTGTGTCCCCAGTCATTGAGAGTGAACTGGTGTCCTTGCCCCTCCAGTCTATCCCATCCTCGTCGCCAATTTGTTATGTCTGAGTTCAGGTAATCAAGACAAGAAAGTTTCTTACTTCTTTAAGGTTTATTCAAACCCACAAACAATTCACACTGCCGGCAGTTAAATGATTAGGCAGCAGGTGCACTCACTTCCATTATTACTCTACACCTTTTATAGGTAACATCATGTGAACTACAGCGCCATCTCCTGACAAGTACATAAACACAACACACAAAGTTTAAAACAACGTTATTATAAAGACTTTTTTAAACGATTTAATTGAATATATATATATAAATCAAACAGTAGGCTATAAAAGATAAGAATTATGTTTTGTCCTATTAACAAAAGACAATAGTACTATTAACAAATGTTAAGTTTTTTTTTAAAGTTAAAATTATACTTTATCCATTTGTTTTGTTGAGTCAAAAGATTAACAATATAAATTGAACAAAGCGTAAAAAAAAAAAAAAAAAAAAAAAAAACAATGACAACAAGCTTGAGCTTTTGCCCCTATGATTTAATTGAAAATAATGTTTAATATTCAACCAACAAATTTTTTCATAGACCATACACAACAATGATATGACAGACTGAAAAAACAAAAATGATTAATTTAAATAAAATGAGTTTTTTCCTCTGATATCAAAAGATAGTTATGTGCTCATAGGTGAAATAAAATACAGTTAATGCAATTCTCATGGTCAGAAAATTTAACAAATGCTTTACAATACAATATAGGCTACGCCAACAACAAATTAATTCTCTGTAGATCTAGAACAAAATAGAGTCAGCTTAAGTAAGTTCAGTGTTGATTCATTTCTGTTGTAAAAAAGTTATTATTTCAGTTAATTAATCTATATAGCCATTCTGATGTCTTCGTCCAGCTCAGTTCAGTTCTCATATAATGGTGTCATTAGCCGCGTTTCCATTATACCCTTCAAATTGCGCAAATTGAAATTGCGAATTGAAAATACGCACAATGGAAACACGTCCATTTCGCAAAAACTCCCGTTTATCGTAAACAAGTTTTTACGCTCCATGAGGTGGTTTTTCAGGCAATTCGAAAAAGGAATATTTCGTAAAACTGCAATGGCATTTACAGTCACCTAGAAGACGCGGTCCGTGTCCGCAAACAATAATAATAATTATCATCATTATTACAACATTTATTAGGCTATATATGTAGAATACGCTTTTATCCAAATAAAAGAACAAAGCAATTCGTCACATCTCATTCATAATACAGGGCTAAGATTATCACAAATAAACACAAGATTTTGACGCATATCCAAGTGTGTGTGCGAGTGTGGAGTGCGCACTTGATGACAGGGAGGCGCAGGCGCGAACACTTGCATTTTCCTATCAACAGTGGAAACAACTTAAAATACTCTATCATTTCTGGTCATACAGAAAATAATAATAGGCTACATTATTCGCAACTACTTTTATTTGTGTAAACTCACAATAACAAGAAAACGTTGTGCTTTTGTAAAATAAAATAAAACCATCAGGCGCGCTTTCATGATCTCCGTGAACTGAAGCGCTAGAACTGAAACAGAATATCGCCTCCGTGGGCTAAAGCTTGAAATGTACACTGATTTAGAAAACAGTTTATTAATAAACAATTAAAATGCCTCGTTATTCTTTCAGACACATTTATTATAGCCTATAACTCGCCAATAAATCACCTTTCTGTAGGCTGTGGTTATATGGTTCTTCTCATTCAGCACTGCGGGAAAAACATAATTTCCAGGTTCTAATTTGGCCTTAGAAAACCAGTAAAATAAAAAAATAAAAATCATATTCATTTGTGAATATTTTAAATGTTTAGTGAAGGGGCAAAAAGTCATAAACAAATTTTTTTTTGGCGCAGCATTTAGTGTACAGTTCAAATTAAATTTAGGTGTTCAACTTTGCGTTTTAAAAATACAACAACCGTTCATTTTTCGTTTTGTAATTAAGGGTTAAATGGGTTTAAAGTAGGCTATTGCACAGATCTGTAATGGAAACGCGCCCAATGACAGATCAAACGTATTGTTGAATATTACCGGTAACTTAAAAAACTTAGAGCCGTTTTGTATAAGCGTATAATGTTAAGTATGTTGCATCCATCAAAGATAGAACTTATCTTCTTCTTTTCCTTGTTCTGTTTATCTATGGTTCTGTGTGCTCCGCGTTAAACATGAACTCCGCCCACTTCCGGCATCAGACGGTTAGGCTGGCGCTGTCGTCCTCACACTGCTATGACGTCTGGTTCTGCGGTTCAGCAGTTGGTTACTATTGGGAATTATCAACTTTACTGAGTTGTGCCTCGGCACGGCACAGCGCGGATGAACACAGTGTTTGAGGAGAGTGTGAGGCTGTCAGTCACCGCGCCGGTGTAGATACTGGCATTCAGAATCCCAGATTATTCTTTTTGGAAGTATGACCAGCATAATAATTTTCACCGGAAAATGTCATCTGAACAAGTAACATCCACTTTTGTTAAGGGATTGTTTCCTTATAAGCAATACCTTACATTAACATTTGACGTTTTATTGTTAGACTTAATATTTTTTAAACAAGCATAAAAGCATAAAAATATCATTAAATTTCATTCTAGAAAGTAATTTATTTGTATGTTTATTAACTGATAATAAATTGACTTTAGTGATACTCTAGTACAATTTACACAAATGTAAAGAGAAACCAAATGATTAAAAAAAACTCAGAGTCAGTGATGATCACATTTGCAACCATAAACTTTAATTTAACCCTTCAAATCTGAGAAAAATCAAGAAATCCCTGAATACTGCACCAGAATCCATACTTCAGTGATTATGAAAAAATAGACAATTTCAGCAAAAACAAACAGAAATACTTCTTCTTTTTTTTTTAACAGTGTTTCTCTTTAAACCCTCATAAAGTCAAAATGTGCTGTTGAGAATCAGAGGAACATCTTCACTGATCGCTCACGTCTGTAACGACACTCATTATTAATCACCAGAACATGAAATATGAGCTGGACGTGTTCTTGAGCAGTTTTGTGAGATTCTGCCATGATCTCAGTCTGTCACTCATCAGGAAGCCTCGCACTTCCCTTCCTGTCCTCCTAACACTTCCCGCTGCAGTCTATGAAGCTCCGCCCCCAGCCGGGACGCTGACTCCGCCCCTCTGTCTGACTCCTCCCAGGGGGCGTGGCTAGTGTGCTGCAGAACGAACCGCAGCAGGTTGGGAACCGTCATGGGTGTGTTTTCTGGAAACTTGACACTCATCTGCTTCCTGCGGGAGACAGTAACGTGTGTGAGAATATTTACCCCGTAAGGAAAAGAGTTTTACACTATATGATGGGGTTTCTGAACCTGTGTCGGGGGAAGAGCAGCACGGAGGGCAGATGATCCACCATAAACTCCCAGGGCAGATCATTACGGCCAACATTCACTCTGAAAACAACAAGAACAGTAATAAACGCACATGATTATGACTGCGGAGCAACTGCAAGTGCTGAATATACGGTCATGTGAGCTAATGTAAAGTGTTTGCAGGTGCAGTTCCACACCTGGCCACCGTGAGGGCGCCGTTTCCCTGGAACAGACGGGCCAGTTGAAGAAACACGTGATTGAGAAGCGAGCAGAAGCCACACCAGGTCGAATAATACAACAGCAGCACGTCCTGATGAGAAGATCACAGAGAGAAGACCACAGTTGCTAAAAAAGTCATCGTTCTTAACACTAATATAGTCATCGTTCTTGGTGTGTACGCTAATATAGTTATCGTTCTTGGTGTGAACGCTAATATAGCCATCGTTCTTGGTGTGAACGCTAATATAGTCATCGTTCTTGGTGTGAACGCTAATATAGTCATCGTTCTTGGTGTAAACGCTAATATAGTCATCGTTCTTGGTGTGTACGCTAATATAGTCATCGTTCTTGGTGTGAACGCTAATATAGTCATCGTTCTTGGTGTGTACGCTAATATAGTCATCGTTCTTGGTGTGAACGCTAATATAGTCATCGTTCTTGGTGTGAACGCTAATATAGTTATCGTTCTTGGTGTGAACGCTAATATAGTCACCGTTCTTGGTGTGAACGCTAATATAGTTATCGTTCTTGGTGTGAACGCTAATATAGTCATCGTTCTTGGTGTGAACGCTAATATAGTTATCGTTCTTGGTGTGAACGCTAATATAGTCACCGTTCTTGGTGTGTACGCTAATATAGTCATCGTTCTTGGTGTGAACGCTAATATAGTCATCGTTCTTGGTGTGAACGCTAATATAGTCACCGTTCTTGGTGTGTACGCTAATATAGTCATCGTTCTTGGTGTGAACGCTAATATAGTCATCGTTCTTGGTGTGAACGCTAATATAGTCATCGTTCTTGGTGTGAACGCTAATATAGTTATCGTTCTTGGTGTGAACGCTAATATAGTCATCGTTCTTGGTGTGAACGCTAATATAGTTATCGTTCTTGGTGTGAACGCTAATATAGTCATCGTTCTTGGTGTGAACGCTAATATAGTCACCGTTCTTGGTGTGTACGCTAATATAGTCATCGTTCTTGGTGTGAACGCTAATATAGTCACCGTTCTTGGTGTGAACGCTAATATAGTCACCGTTCTTGGTGTGTACGCTAATATAGTCATCGTTCTTGGTGTGAACGCTAATATAGTCATCGTTCTTGGTGTGAACGCTAATATAGTCATCGTTCTTGGTGTGAACGCTAATATAGTTATCGTTCTTGGTGTGAACGCTAATATAGTCATCGTTCTTGGTGTGAACGCTAATATAGTTATCGTTCTTGGTGTGAACGCTAATATAGTTATCGTTCTTGGTGTGAACGCTAATATAGTCATCGTTCTTGGTGTGAACGCTAATATAGTCATCGTTCTTGGTGTGGACGCTAATATAGTTATCGTTCTTGGTGTGAACGCTAATATAGTCATCGTTCTTGGTGTGTACGCTAATATAGTCATCGTTCTTGGTGTGAACGCTAATATAGTCATCGTTCTTGGTGTGAACGCTAATATAGTTATCGTTCTTGGTGTGAACGCTAATATAGTCACCGTTCTTGGTGTGTACGCTAATATAGTTATCGTTCTTGGTGTGAACGCTAATATAGTTATCGTTCTTGGTGTGAACGCTAATATAGTCACCGTTCTTGGTGTGTACGCTAATATAGTTATCGTTCTTGGTGTGAACGCTAATATAGTTATCGTTCTTGGTGTGAACGCTAATATAGTCACCGTTCTTGGTGTGAACGCTAATATAGTCACCGTTCTTGGAGTGAACGCTAATATAGCCATCGTTCTTGGTGTGTACGCTAATATAGTTATCGTTCTTGGTGTGAACGCTAATATAGTCACCGTTCTTGGTGTGAACGCTAATATAGTCACCGTTCTTGGTGTGAACGCTAATATAGTCACCGTTCTTGGTGTGAACGCTAATATAGTTATCGTTCTTGGTGTGTACGCTAATATAGTTATCGTTCTTGGTGTGAACGCTAATATAGTCACCGTTCTTGGTGTGAACGCTAATATAGTTATCGTTCTTGGAGTGAACGCTAATATAGCCATCGTTCTTGGTGTGAACGCTAATATAGTTATCGTTCTTGGTGTGAACGCTAATATAGTCACCGTTCTTGGTGTGAACGCTAATATAGTCATCGTTCTTGGTGTGAACGCTAATATAGTTATCGTTCTTGGAGTGAACGCTAATATAGCCATCGTTCTTGGTGTGAACGCTAATATAGTTATCGTTCTTGGTGTGAACGCTAATATAGTCACCGTTCTTGGTGTGAACGCTAATATAGTCATCGTTCTTGGTGTGTACGCTAATATAGTTATCGTTCTTGGTGTGAACGCTAATATAGTCACCGTTCTTGGTGTGAACGCTAATATAGTCACCGTTCTTGGTGTGAACGCTAATATAGTCACCGTTCTTGGAGTGAACGCTAATATAGCCATCGTTCTTGGTGTGTACGCTAATATAGTTATCGTTCTTGTTGTGAATGCTAATATAGTCACCGTTCTTGGTGTGAACGCTAATATAGTCACCGTTCTTGGTGTGAACGCTAATATAGTCATCGTTCTTGGTGTGAACGCTAATATAGTGTGAACGCTAATATAGTCATCGTTCTTGGTGTGAACGCTAATATAGTCATCGTTCTTGGTGTGAACGCTAATATAGTCATCGTTCTTGGTGTGAACGCTAATATAGTCATCGTTCTTGGTGTGAACGCTAATATAGTCATCGTTCTTGGTGTAAACGCTAATATGGTCATCGTTCTTGGTGTGAACGCTAATATAGTCATCGTTCTTGGTGTGAACGCTAATATGGTCATCGTTCTTGGTGTGAACGCTAATATAGTCATCGTTCTTGGTGTGAACGCTAATATAGCCATCGTTCTTGGTGTGAACGCTAATATAGCCATCGTTCTTGGTGTGAACGCTAATATAGTCATCGTTCTTGGTGTAAACGCTAATATGGTCATCGTTCTTGGTGTGAACGCTAATATAGTCATCGTTCTTGGTGTGAACGCTAATATAGTTATCGTTCTTGGTGTGAACGCTAATATAGTGTGAACGCTAATATGGTCATCGTTCTTGGTGTGAACGCTAATATAGTCATCGTTCTTGGTGTAAACGCTAATATGGTC